ACACACACACAAAATAAAAAAAAAAAGAGAAAAAGAAAACCAGACCCCCCAATGTCATGATAATAAGTAACAAATGGTTATTTATTTTTTGCCATTTAAATGTTATACTACCCTAACAACTTAGTTCTTAGTTAATGATATTTACTTTGTGTAATTGTTGAGTTATAAGGTTTAGTAAATGGACTATTGCTTTCTATATTTGAAACTAATACCTTCCATCCCTCCTTTTAGATCTAAAGTGATCATGGAGCTACTTTATAGAAACTATAAATGAAAAGTAAGAAGCACTAAAACTCTACATGATTTAATTAGTCTAAGTAAAATTTACCAAATATGTTAGAGGATATTTGGTTATGCAGTCCTTGATTTTTTCTTTTAGGCAAAATACATAAGTTAGACACTTGAACTATGTGTCAAATCCCTGTTACACATTTTCTGTGGGCGAAAATAATATTACACACTTAACCTTTTAAAAGTGTGTCTAATACACACTTTCTTTGACCAGGACCTAACATGTGTAAAACACCAAGGCAGGAACGCGTCTACAGATAAAAGTATTGTCTAAATACTTATTTATGCCACGTGTCAGCAAATCCATCATCTTCCCCACACTTCTCTATCTCTCTCTTCGTTTTTCCGCCATCCGAACTCCCCTCCATACCATGTTCAAGAATCTTATTTTTCCTCCATCTCTCCCTATCTTCACCATATTTACTTGCCATTTCTAATATCAATTCTGGCATTTCTACAGACCATCTATTTACTTCGTCAAATTTGAGTTTATTAACCCATTAGTTATTATCTAACCGTTAAAGTAAATATGGAACTAATGTCATACATTTTACCAAATTGATCAAGAACATCAACAACCCAGTTGTCACTTTTCTCTTTTTTCTTTTATTCCTTGTGATCTTCTCCTGCAAATCCATTAATGTCGGTGCTGCTATCTTTGTTTCATATGATTTCGTTTTGTATAGTATCTAAAATCTGGGCACGGGATGCACACGCATGGAAAAGTGAAAATTAAAATTTTAGATATTTAGGTGAAAGGAGCAAGAAAATATCGAGGGATATAAGGAGGAAGAGATTGTTAAAATTGAAAATCAAATCACCAATTTATTTGCTAGTATGCAATTTAGTGAGCCATGGCTTATTAGCTTTTGATGCCTTCTATTTCTTTCTCGAATTAAATCACTTGAGCTCCTAATTTTTGGATTGAATTGTGTGCTGATCTTTCTGGTGGTTCATGGAGGGTGACATGGAGAGAAAGAGATGGGCATGAAGAAGACGAGGTTATGTAATTTTAGATATTTTTTATGCTAATTATATGTGTCATGGCCTTATTGGTGCGTGACATTACCTATATTTTGGTAAAGTGGTCAAGAAAAAAGTGGTGTGTATTAGACACACTTTTAAAATGTTAAGTGTGTAATATTATTTTCACCTACAGAAAATGTGTAACAGGTCAAGTGCCAACTTATGTATTTTGCCTTTCTTTTATATTTGCCACCATGCAGTAAGGTACTTCAATTATCAAATATTGTGCTTTTCTTTCTTTTGGTATAGTTTTCTGGAGCTTTAATAAGTTTGTTAATTTTAATTTGTTTCTTTTATTTAGCGACACTGCTAGCTTGATTATGAAACTACAATTTCCTAACTTTGTAGGATTATTAGTTTCAACATTTCTATCCAAACTAGCTAAAATACATAATTGGTTATTTATAAGATCAGTTAAGCAATTTGAAGTACTTTTTTTTTTTATGCTTATTAGCTATTTTCAATCAACTAAGCCAAAAAAACTCTAAATACTTTCTTGAAGCAATTTTTTGCTTCTCATTCGAGAACACAACAAAACAACATAAAAAGAAAAATCAGCCATTCAAACACCTTTTCGCAAACTTTTTCTCCATTTTTTTTCCAAAATAAAAAATTATTCAAACAAGTCTGTATATCTTTATCAGCAGAATGTCGGTGTTTTCTATATTTCCAACTAAGAAAATTTGCCCCAAATAGCTACTTATAATCACTTGTCGAGGGTCTATCGAAAACAGTTTTTCCACCTTCTTAAGGTAGGGATAAAATCTGCGTACACATCACCCTTCCCATACCCCACTCGTAAGATTCCATTGTTGTTGTTGTTGTTGTTGTTGTAATCACTTTTAGATGATATTCACTCAAAGAAAAAATCTGAGTGAGTGAATGCATGTTATCCCATATGGCATTTGGTTTCCAGGAAACTTTGCATAGGTAGCAAGCAAAAGCAGTAGGCAGGGCAGGACAAGGATGTCAATCATTTAAAACCATATTGTAACGAGGAGATGAGGCAATATTGAGCAACCCAAGACAATAGCCAACTTTAACTGCAACACACATTAAATAGAACTTAAATGCTGATAAAAACCAGGACCAGAGTACTAAATTTTAGGTTAAAATCTGTGCCAAACCATGAATTCTGTCTAAAAATTCTCCCAGTTTTTAGAGTACACAACAGTAGATATGAAGTCAAAGAATTGAATTCCGGTATCTCTAAAATCTATACCCTCCTATTTACTTGTTACTATAGCCTTTTGTTACGCCATTTAAGAAAACATTAGCAATAAGAGTCACTCGTATTTGACTAGATTGCTCGTATTTGTTCTTTTATAGAGTGTATAGAAGATATCTATGGGAGAAGGAAATAGGCTATCATCAAAGACGAGTGTCTTTGGGTGTCTGTTAATGCTGATGATAGTGTGTGAGATGATCATTTTGCCTTGTTTAGGATGCCCAACAGATGGTGATGGCTGCAGAAATTGCATAGTAAATCACATGAAAGTCGACTGTCCAAAATGCGCGCCAATCATGCGTTGCATGGCCAAGTGCTTGTGGGGAGGAACTTCGCGCACCAAGTGCACGAAGAAGTGTGATTGCAAAGGTGTCTACCCAAGGCTTTCTGATTGCAAGAATTGTTTGTCACAATGCAAATGTAGTTGCAGCTCTGTCTAAGACATCATCTCATTCTGCATGTAAGTTCTATGTTTTATCAAATACAGAGAGATCAAGAGAAAACAAAGGTTGCTTTGGTGGCCGGGGAGGGGGGGNTCAGTAACTGCTAAATGATGTAGAGAATTGTTGTGGAAGCTTGAGAAGCTGCTGTATTAGTAATAAGAACTTATTTTTTCATTAAAGTGAACTGCAACCATGCTTTTGCTAGAGTACTATATATAACTGTCACATAGGCGAATTCAGGATTTAACTTGGTGGGTTCATCAACCTTTAAAGTTCTTGTCACTTAAAAGGTACATATTTCTTCATATGCTCCATCTTTCTTCTTTTTTTATCAGATTAGTGTTAGTACTTTTTCTCAGATTTTACAACAGAAAATGCTCTTCAGACATATTAACCATAAAAGTTTACTTTTTTTGTGGGCTAGATCATGAAAACTTTGATTATAATGTCACTTTGATACATTGAAGTAACTAGTACCCGGGGTGGAGCTAGAGCTTCACTATCGGATTCGACCGACCCCAGTAGCTTTAGTGCAAACCATATATTTATCTTAAAAAATCCATTTGATAGGTACTAATTCTTACTTTAGAACCCAGTAACATAAAAAGGCTAGAATCTCGAACCAATAAAGTTTTAAAATACGCTTGACAGAAACAGGGAACTGAAGGAAAAATATTACCATCTACGCTGTGTTGATCAAAATTCCTAGTGTAGCAAAGTATTTAGATCAAAGTTTTCAGAAACCTATAGAAAGCAAATGTTACCAGATGTCATTAACACAGAACGAAGACGAGAAGGAAAGAGAACTCTCATATGCATTATACAACAGGATTACAAGTCAGATACATGTATAGGTATATATAACGTATTAACAAGAAAGGAAAGATGATATTACATTTGTGAGGATTGGTATCATTATTGGTCGCGTAGAAACCTTTGTAGGCACCGAAAACCCAAATGCTCAGCGCAGAACGTCTCCAATTCGTTATCACCTCTTTCTTTGCAAACCTCAATTTCCATCCTCTCTACAACATCATCCCAGTCCATCAAAAATCCATCCCAGTTTTGAATCTTAGTGTCGGAAACAGCATCTAATATCTCTTGCAACCCCACGATCCGGCGGCTCACGTGTCGCCTCAGCTCCCTGACTGTTGAATCAACTCCTGGCACTGAGTCTAATCTTAATAGCAGACCCATTAGCGCCTCATTCATCCTGATTCTCTCTCGCTCACTGGACCTTACGGCATCAACTGTATCCTGCTATCAACAAGTGACATGTCACAGACGCGATTTCGGTGAGATCATCTGCCATTGTAGCTAGTAGGTAGATTGTCTGTGTACTTCACAACAATATTAAGATTTAACTTTGATATGGTATAATTATACCTAAGTGCCATAACAACCAGTCATGACCCAGCATGGGGGTCATGTCATGTCAGGCGGTGCTAAGCGAGACTAAGCCACCCAGCAAGCCTAGCCCTTTTTCACGATAAGAATCCGGTAGAGTATCCACTGTAGCGGTAGGACACGATAATTTCAACCTTGTCATCATTCAATCATCTCAAAATCGTAAATAATTTGGGATAGAGATGTAGTTGAAAATACATAGCACTATAGCAGCATCAACTGTCTCTTGCTATCAACAAGTGACATGGCACGGACGCGATTTCAGTGGTCATCTACGATTCTAGCAAGTAGCTAGATGGTTTATGTGCTTTCACAACAATAGTTGATAAGATTTAATGTTGATATGGTGTATTTGTACCTCACTTACATAACAACTAGCAACAGGAAATGCCATCACTACACAAGAATCGCTAAAACTTACAATTTGGTATTATGTGCATATGTATTTATATATACTCCTCAAGATTTGATCTTAAAAGTACGTCAAAGGGAAGAAATTAGGAGAAGTAGTAACCCCTACTAATTATCAGAAACAGCCTCTCTACCTTCGTAAGGTAGGGGTAAGGTCTGGGTAAACTCCACCCTAGACCTCACTTTGCCGTATTACACTGAGTTTGTTGTTGTTGTTGCTGTTGTTGTTGTAGTAACCCCTACTAACTAAAGGAGTCTTATAGCCTGTTTGGCCAAGCTTCTTTTTGGCCAAAAGTACTTTTGGCCAAAAGTACTTTTGGCCAAAAATTGAGGTGTTTGGCCAAGCTTTTGGAAGGAAAAAAAATGCTTTTAAAGAGAAGCAGAAGCAGTTTTAGAGAAGCAGAAAAAAGTAGTTTCTTTCCAAAAGCACTTTTGAGAAAAATATACTTAGAAGCAGTTTTTTAAAGTTTAGTCATACACTAATTGCTGCTTAGAAGTGCTTTTCAAATTAATTAGCCAAACACAAACTGCTTCTCACCAAAAGTACTTTTGAGAAAAACACTTTTGAAAAAAAGCACTTCTCAAAATAAGTTGATTTTTGCAACTTGGCCAAACAGGCTATTATACTTGCACAAGGTGCAACTCGAGCTTTTACAAATCCTCTTACCTTAATAATTAATACTACTATGTAATGCATGTAGCCCCTCTCTGCAACCTGAAAATTTTTATGTTATTCCCCTCGCTCACATGTAGCTCTCCGGCCATGAGGTCTGGCCTTGTCGGTTTCTTAGCTCATACTCTATCAATCATTTTGGTTGAGGAAATTTCATGGTTGGATTTTATCATGTTAAGGGGAATCTCGACTCACTGTTTCCCCCAATATCTTCCCTTGTACGACCTCGTGGAATTGACAACAATAGCTGAACACTTAGTTTGATTGACACAACTAACTGATGTTGCATCAAAGTAGCTCTTGGAAATGTAATTAGCATACAGCAGCCAAGGGAATACCACCAATGAAGCACATCCAAATATCTACTACTCTAACTAATATGAATATTCTGCACTAATTGGAAAAAGAAAAAAAAACATAAGCTAAAAGTGTATTTTGCAATTCAAATAACGTCGAGCATATATATGGTTATACAGAATAACTAGTAAAGGAGTCGGTCTGATCAATAAGAGTGAATCATACTTCAGACTACTCTTTTCAGGAGGAACTATATAACAACGACAAGCATTCCCTGCTCAGAAGACCGGAAAAACGCCTTTTATTAACCACCCTTCTTCGACACTAGTGCTTAAAATCATGAAAACATATACTCAGGGGCGGATCCACCTCCCTACTTGCGGGTTCACGTGAACCCAGTAAATTTTGTCTAAACAGTGTAAATGTGTTCGAAAAATTTACTAAATATCTATAAATGTTTGAATGTGAACCCAACTACTATTTGAAATTTACTCGAGATCGTTGCAGGAACCCTTAAATATTAAATCCTGGATCCGCCTCTGCATATACTATGTGAATTAGATAAGCTGAAATTGTTCGAAATCCATATACTTATTTATTTTAGAATTTAAGCTCTAAGCATTGTCAGTGCAAAAAAATATATACACAATCAGTTCGCTTATTAGGTAATTACCGGTAAATCTCTTGATAAACATCAATTGGTAATCTGACAAGAGAATTAACTAACCATTTACCACAGGTTAAAATTTTAGCTCCATATATGAATTTTTTAAAATATGAATTTAATAAGCTGAAATTCAGAGAGCAATTTAGTAAAGTGTACAATCAAATGATCAGTCAATTATACCTGTCGTTGGATAAGACGTTGTAAATAGTTTGCTTCAGAATTGACGGCTGAAATCTTCTTTACAAGGGTACGAACTATGTAAGACCTATAAGCTGACTGTATTTTAACAGCAGCCGTACCGGTCGGAGCTGAGAGGTTTGGGAGTTCATTTTCCGGCGGGGACTGAATGGGAATTTGGATGATCTCCGGGGTAGATTGGTCATTTTCCATAAAGCAGGTGACGGTGGAAGAAGAAGAAGAAGAAGAGTAAAAGCTGTTTCTGCGACAAGATTTCATAGCTATAACTGAAAGAGTCAGAATAAAGAACCCACTTTATTTATTTTTAGCTCGATAATATGTTAGTGATAAAAACAGGAAAAAATATACAACGAATCTACTAATTATAGCTAAAAAACTGAAATTAGTTGCGAACTTTATCGTTAATTTATCACTAAATTGCTCATATTTAACAGAATTTTTTAATAATCTATTGCTAAATTAAATTAATAATTTCTGTTTAGTTATAAAATTTATCCGTCACTAATTTTTAATTTTTTTAAATAGTGGATCAACCTCTAAATATAAAGTGAGGAAAGAAATAATAATAGTAAAGTGGAAATTGGGAAGTAGCAAATAGGGAATGGATATAGTTTGAGAATTGAGATCATAATACTTTGGCGGGTATTGCGCATTGCTGCCGTTTATGGGACCCCGCCTTTTTTTTTCTTTTTTTTTTGGACCTTTAACGGTCTTTTTTTGTGGCTTTTTCATACGTTAGTGGGTTCCATGTCTAGGAGCTGTCGGTTGATTTTTTTCCGGGTATTATTACTTTTAGCCGGTGTCAGAAATTATTTATATTTAATAGTCGAAAAAATATATAAAATTTATATAATAATTTTTATATAACATCAGTTATATACAAAAATATGTATTTTTCCGACTATTATTTTTTGAGCGATTATATAGTGTCATTTCCCCCCTCTTTTTTTTCATTCTGTTGGGCCACAATCCGGTAGTTGAGTAAAACAGTGAGTTATATATTCTAATAGTATAAAAGAATTATACTATGTATAAGTTATTAGAGCAATTTGGTTAATTATAGGGGAAATGTATAAGTACCCTGACCTATAACCGGATTCTCAACTGCTGGGGTATATACTATTAACTATGCATTTGGATATAGTATATTCTAATAATTATCATGGTTAAAAGTCTAAGTGGGAGATTGTTGGGATATATACTATTAACCATGAGTTTGGTTTAGATATAATATTTATTATGAAATAATTGTTTATTCAGTTTTAATAAAGTTTTAAATAGATCATATAATAGTCTGTGTCCTTTGCTTATATAGTAGATGATTTAGTGTATAGAGTTTAGCTTATACACGGAAGATTAAATCATCGGTTCTTATAAGTATAAAGTTTGAGTTCACAATCTAATGATGGAATTGGACAAACCATCAGGAATGATTGTAGCACAAGATTAAATATAATTAATCTTGATTATGGGAATGGTTTAATTCCAACTTCTTGTGCTAGTACATTTTGTATGTATTGAACGGACCAGGTAGAGATAAGTATTTTATACTGACTTAATAAAATAAACTCTCTAGCCATTAAATGTACTTATACTCTTAATCTTGATATAATTATTATTAGCTGTGTATATTATTATTGTTTTGATTTATTAAAAGGCGAGATTCTTTCGTGGGTCAATATGCCTGGTAAATTGGATAATAATAATATACATTGGCGAAGTAATAGTTAGTTGATGGAATCCATGTCTCGGTTTAGAGATTGATGATATACCTTTATGAAAGCTTATAAGTTTGCATGTGTAAACCCGGCCGGTGGATTTTGTATCCGACACATGAAATAAGTTAAGCGAAAGTCTAAAGGAAATAATCAATAAATTAAATCGTCAGTAATTTAATTTAATTGATTCGTATCTGAATCTTAACATGGGGAGTTAAATAAGATTTAATGGATGAATTTCGAAATTGAATAAGGAGTGTAATTACGAATTTTTAGTGGAATAATTCGTAATTAATTATGGTGGATATTAATTTCGAAAATTACAAATTAATTCCATAATTGGAAGCCTTGTTAATTAAATTCTGTGGTCCCTACTGTGCCTAAATAATAGGAAATAAAGGAATCCTTTTTCTGGTGGAAAAGAAAACCTAACAGGTTTTGGAAAAGGGTCTTAACCCTTAAAACTTGTGCTATAAATACATAAGGTTTTCCACCTAGAGGGATGAGTAGATGGTGGCTGAAATTTTCAGCCAAGTTTTCCTAGAAATTTCGCCCACACGAAATTGCTATTTTCGGGTATTATTTGGGTAACACAGTAGAAGACCGTGGAACGTTCGAGGATCACGATTGTGCGGGTGATGAAGATTCCATTGAGAAGTTATGGAACTGAAGGCTCACGTGGTAGAAGAGATATGTTCACGCTTCAAGAGGTAACCCGTGAAATCCCGTTTATGCTAGTTGTCTAAATTACATGTGATTTTGATACTGGGATTGCTTCCGCTGCATATAATAATCCATCATCAACTACACACTTTATCTTTGCGGGAATCCTATTACTCCCCTAAACTATTTTAAAGTAAAATTATTTGCACCCTTAAAGCTAACGTGGCAGAGTGTATGTATTTCACTCTACTTTGGGAGAGTGAGAAGCAAGAAAAAACAATTTTCAGATTTTTCTTTTTTGTTTTTTTACCATTTTTTTTCTTACCTTTTTTCCCTTCTCCGTTTCCTTTTTCTTTTTCTTTGTCTTTTTCTTTTACTTCTTTTTTCGTTTCTTCTCTAATTTCGGCAGATATTCATTCACCGACGACTTTATCTTACTGTTTTTCTTCCATTTATTCTGTTTTATTTTTCCTATTTTTATCATTTTCGCACACAAATTAAACTCTCAAAAAGATCTATTCATAAGCAAAACAAAATATACTCAAATCGGGATAAAAATCTGTTGCCGAAAAAAATTCGCTGGAAAAAATGGTGTTCTTGAAATTTCGACGACCACCATTTTATGCCGTTGGTGACCAAAACAAAAAGAAAGAGATTGAAATAACCAACAAAAAATGAGAATAATAAGAAATAAGAAAAAAGGATAAGAAAAAAAAGAAAGAATAAAAAAAATACTAAAAAGAATTGTGGCAGCGCATGTACTTCACCACTTGCCAAGAATTTAGTTGTCTAGTTTTAGTGTGATATTTATTCCATTTAAAAATAGTTTAGGAGGGTAATAGGATTTCCGCAAAGATAAAGTGTGTAGTTAGAAATCCGGGTATAAGTCAGGGGTAATTATGCATTTTTCTTTAATTATAATGGTTGTTACTTTACTTTTTAATTATCATATTAGATTTCTTATAAAGAGCTAAATATTGTTGTCGGTTAATTAAACATGATAGTGTAAAAAGTGTATATACGCGTGAGAGCGCGGAGCTAAATTTAATAGCGATTGGATAAACAATTCTAGCTTAGAAACTTTTTCTTTTTTTAATTTTATCACATAGGGACAGGGTGTAGGGATAGGGAGAAATGGGGAAAGGGATTACAAAATGGAGAATCGAACCCTTAATAATAAGGTAAAAGTTTATGTAGCCAAATTAGCGATGCTGAATTGTTCACCTTACAACACCCCGTGAAAATAACTTCGTCTCCATCAAGAAAGAAACTGTATGAGTCAAAGACGATAGTGGTCGCCCTCAATAGGAATGATAGGGGGTCGACCAAGTCGGGATCCTGCTCATGTGGCAAAACAGCAAAGAGCACCTTGGCCGTCCTCGGAGTCAAATCGTCGAAAACATACATCAAGTCAATATTATGTTCGATTGACGACGAAAGGGACAGTCGCAAGAAAGCATGTTGGTCAAATACCATTGAATAAAAGCTCTAGGAAATATATATATATATATATATATATATATATATATATATATATATATATATATATATATATATATATAGGGGTAAGCTCAAAGAAGGGGGAGGAGAATTTCTCACTGATGAACAGTCGCTTCACTTTTTCCTCTCTAGTATTTCACTTACAATTCTTTTTGGCTTAAAATGTAAACCAATTTTTTTTCTCGTGTTTGATATAAGATTATGACATCGATAAATTTGAGATGTTCCTATCTTTCGTTATTTCTCGTTGTATACTTTTCGATCTGAAGTTAATTATGCTTGACTAAGATTTACCTTCTTTATTATTGATAATTGAAGTTGGTAAAAGAGTCTTAAACTTTTTTGTTCAAACACAAACAATATCACCAACTTCTAAATTGCTACTGGCATCTTTAATGAGAATGAGATTCTAAATTACAAACTAATCAATAAATAATTAACCTAGCTGATTGTTAGGTGTTTGTCATAATTTTCTTACCATATTTGGTTTTTCTATTTGTTGAAGGAAATGGCAATATAATTACCTTTAATTGAATTTTTCTTTTTGTAGAAAGAAATTACAAATCTCTCATATTTGGCTAGTCCTTTTTCTTGTAGGAAAACGTTTAGACTTCTATAAATTGAGGATCCTTCCTTCTCATTCAGCAGCATCCACAATGTAGTCATAGGGGGTTTAAGAGTCGTGTTTAGGGGGAGAATTTTACGGGACAAGTGTTAGTGTGTCACTTGTGTTTGCCTCTTCGTAAGGTCGTTCTCTCGATATTTTGTATTCTCTTTTATATAGTGGATTGCTCATCTCCGCCGTAGACGTAGGTCAGTTGACCGAACCACGTTAAATGTTTGTGTCTTTTTTGATATATTTCTCTTTATTGTCTGATTTATCGTCGCTAAAAGTTTACTTTGTTAGCTTCCGCATGACACATGACTTTTTCGATCCTAACACTGATTACATCAAATTATCAGCGAGCCAAAAAGAATAAAACAAAATGGGAGCCAACAACCGTCGTCCGTGTATATTATTCTTAATTTTCTAACTTTCGAACACACAGCAAAATGGAAAATGCAAGTCTTTCGAGTACTGGTTATTAAGGCATATATAAACTAAAATGGTAGGTATACAATATACAGATACTTCCTCCGATTCGTCCCAATTTATGTGTCATACTTTCTTTTTCAGTTTGTCACAAAAAGAATATCATACTTCATTATCTAAAAATAATACTTCGTTATCCAAAAATAATACTCCCTCCGTTCACTTTTATTTGGCATGTATACTAAAAATAGATTTTTATTTTTACTTGTCACTTTACGCATATCAAGAAAAGACAAAAAAAAAATTTCTGTTATACCCACAGTATTTATTACTCATTTCAAATCATTTTTTCAAATCCATTAAAAATATGCATCAATTAATATGGATATCATGATAAATTATGCACTTT